GGGGTGGTGCGGTGGCGGGGTCTGCATGGCACGGGGCCGAGCGCCGAACGGGGCCTAACTCGGCTGAGACAGTACATGCAGGTGATTCTTTGGCGGGGAGAAATTAAGGCAGCAGAGTTACATACAAGGTTAAAGAACTTTTTTAAGATGGAAGAGACTTCAATATGTTTAGTACTGAGAGGAAGAACCCAGGGGAAAGGAGGTGACAGGGAAAACCGGAAGAGCAAAGACCAGAACGCTGGGGAGAGAGGAGAGATGAGACTCAGAGCTGGAAGGGGAGATGCGTCCTCCTCCGCAGTAGGAGGAAAGCGGCTGGAGGGAAGAAGAGACACGGGTGCAAAGAGTTGGTTCAGAGGCAAAAAGCCAGGGATTCCTCATTTTGATGGCTTTTACATTTTTCTGATGTTGGAGATGAGGTCAAATACTAAAACTGAGGGCAGAGTGGTAGAGTTGGAGTTCTGAAGAGAGTGGAGTTGAGTGAACAAATGAGGTAAGTCCTTAAAAAAAAACTATCAGGTTTATTTAATACTTCATTATTTTAAATTGTTAATAAAGCTTACATAACTTTATCTTTGTTTTTATGATATATTTACACCAAATCCTTGGCTGCAAAAACAAGTCCCAGTTACATTATTTTTCTGGAAAAAAAAAGATTTGTTTTATGACAGTTTTACAAGTGCTTTCTAGCAAAGCACCATGGGCACACATTATATTAAAAATATATTAAGAATATCTATAGCTAATATTCACCAAGTCTAAGTGATTTCTGAAAGACTTGAAAGGGTATTAAAGAGGGTGACACAAAAATAAAATGTAATTGGGGTCAGACTAAAAGTATTAGACACTTTCATGTGCATAGTATTAATTTAACCACATAGTCAACCCAAGAGTGCAACACTGTTATGTCTACTGTTGAGGATAACGTCCTAGACTTGAGCCCTTTAAGGAGAGAGAGTGCTCTGAGAGGAAATAAATTTAGCCAGAGATTTAACCATTCACTAGCCCTGGGCTTTATTTAAGAAAAGCCAAGTCATTAGGTGGAAATTTCTCTGCAAGGAACTAAAAAATTCTAATCTGAAATCAGTCCTCTCCCCTATCCCAAATAGTTTCATGTTTTATATTTTATAAAATTATCAGAAAAGTAAAATGGGAGAATTAAAAATGAAACTTTAGAAAGATGTATGATTATCAAAAAGGCAACTGTCTCTTGAAAATCACTTAACATAATTACGGTCATAATATAACAGTGCTTTGTGGTTTACAGAGCTCACTTATTTATCTAGCCATTCACACAGTCACTTTTTAGTAAAAAAGCACACTGGATTAGAAAAAGATTCACTTCCTAGCTCTGCGCTACAAGCAGAGTGATGGTCAACTGCACCTTCAAGGGCTGCAAGAAAGCTTCAGAAAGAGTCTACTGAAGCAGACAGTCTTAGGACTTAAGAAGTGTGTCAGGAAAGGAAGGAGGGGTTGGGAAGGAGATCAGGAGTTACACGAGACACCCCGGGAAGGGAAACAGCTGGCATAAACCACAGCAGCACAGCCGGGGTCTCAATGCTCAGTGAGGAGCGAAGGGTAGCGGAGGCAGCTTAGCATCAGGGAAGCACGCCCACAGCCCCACCCAAGGGAGAGGCAGGAGAGGGGGGGCACTTATGCCAGCTGCCTCCAGAGAGGGTGCAAAGTATGTGTACTTCACTTCAAGGAGTGTACAAAACAAGTGAGTATGACAACAAAATAGCACCTTTAAAAACAAATAAATCAAAGCCGAGACAGCTTGTGAACGTGAGAAGAGCAGAAAGAAGAGGGCGCGGCCATGATGAACGCTCGCCTTTAACACATGGGAGGATGAGTCGCAAATGTAAAATGGTGGTAAAGGAGGGGTTAAAAAATGAGTCTTGTTTAGGCAAAATAACATACTGAACACAGATACCAAACTTCACTCTCCTCCTAAACCCTACTAAAAACTATGGGAAAGGAAATGTTTTAAAGACATAAACCCATAAAGGATGAAAAATGGGAGAAGACAGCATAAAAATATGGAAGCCAGAATGTAAGTGGACAAAGAGGAGCTGATTAAGAGGATCCAAGAAAACTAAACCAGAAGCTGAGAGCGGACAAAGCTGAGAACCAATTAGGTCTGCACAGCGAAACTCTCCAACAGCAGAGAGCAGAGCACAAGCCTCCCCTCCCAGCAGCAGCTGGCGGGACGGAGGGTAAACTGAAGAAGCAGCCTAGAAAACAGAGCAATAAAACGAAGGTAAAGAAATGGGAACGAAAGTCAGGACACCAGAGAACCAGTCCATGAAATCCAATACACAAATAAGTAGGAGCTTCAGGAAAAAAGAGCAGAGAGAAGAAAGGAAGAAAACTTACAAAGTGAGACATGCACAGAATGGGTTATATTGTGGACATAAGGGT